GAACATGCAGTTCAGAAGCCCCGCTGATTGTTTCAGAAAGCTCTGCCTTGCCATCGATGGTTAGAGACACATCTCGAAAAAGTGCGCTGCAGCCCCAGGACATGGAGCCTCAGGCTCCTGTTTAGGAACCCAAATCCCCGCACTGGCAGCAAGTGCAACGCAGCTGACGCGAGAGAATGCCTCTTGCACCGACACCAGACAGCAGCAGCAGCAGCAAGAGCCTCCAAAAGAAAAACTTCACGAGTGGAGCAGAACGTGGGAGCCCTACCCATCGGAGACAGCAACATGCCTCTCCTGCAGCACGGCAAAGGCCATCAGCACGCACGTCCGGCTGGTGACTTGCTAGTTTGCCCGGTGACCAATGGGAGAGCGGCGATGGCAAGGCACTGCACACGTGAAAAAGCCGCGACTGCATGTAGCCTTCAGCGCCAAGGTGCAGCTCGACAAGCAGGCTGTGTGCATCGTTTGCTGGCAGTCTTCCTGGCTGGGCGACGGCCGGAGGGTCGGTTTCTCCTTCCACGCGAGGGCAAATCAGCAGGATTTGACTCACTGGGTATATAGACAGTTCTTGGCAACACATTCGCACCCATCGTGATCGCAGCAATTGACCTCAAAATCGTTCTTAGGGCCCTGGAAGAACTCCGCCCTTTCGCCACAGCACCTATGACGACTTTGGCGTCCACCAGCAAAGGGATTTTGTGGTGGTGGTTAGCAGCTCTGCGGGCCAACCACTTCAAGGCTAGCAAACAGGCATGCCCCTCCAGAACACCTGAGTGCCCTGGCCATTTTGCCTTGCAACAGATGATCGTGACGAAATCCTTCTGAGTGCATCCCAACTTGCGAGGAACACCGAGACGAGGCATCTCCGCAACATCACCAGGATGGCTGGTCAACCTGACATAATCCCCTCTTCGTTCAGAAAGGCGACAAACCTGTGTAGCTTCCCGAGTGCTGCACTCACAAGCACTGACACCAAAACCAAACTCAGGGGCAGCATCTGTGGCAACCAGTTTGGGCAGAACTGCCCTGTCCAAGTCTGCAGAAAGAAGTGGGGCCAGCGCGCTCACAAGCAGTTCGTTCAGAACTGCCCCTGGGACCGGGAATGTGCAATCAGCGGGCTCTTTGCGGACAAATTGGTAAACAGTGTCATAGATGCTGAAGAACCCTCGTTGCAGCAGGGCAAACCACTCCCAAACTCCCAAAAGACCATGAACAGCGCGAGGGCTTGCATGAGCACGGTGCAGCAAGTCTAACGTTCTGCAAATGCACTGCCCCATCTTCTCACGGTTTGGCTCGGCTTTGACTGGATTGCTAGACAAATCACAACCCAAGGCCGTCAACTCCGGTGCGAGTGTGATGTCCTTCGAAGCATTGCGAGGAATGCCATGACTCTCGAAAGCACGATCCAAGTTCTTCAACGTGTGGCGGCCCTTCCTTACATCGGTATGAACAAGCACTGTGTCATCCGTGGCCACGAAGCATATCTCGTCGTGGCACTGCGGAATGTCGTGGTCCAAGGACAAGATGTGCTCTTCAGCGATGCCAGCAGCGGCACAAGTGGCCAAGGTGGTGTCTTGCGCCACCGCACTGGACCAAGAGAAACCCATGGGCCAGACAGCATGCACTGGAAAGAGTAGATCTGTGGGGCCCAAATTGTTGAGGTCACAGTCATCGCAAGCTGTCCGCAAAGCCTCACCCTTCAAGCCATGTTGCTGAAACTCCTTCACTGTGATGGGTGGTTGCCCGAACCAGGTTTGCAGAGCAGGAGGTACTTTGAGCGTGTCGAAGAAAGTCGAAGCATCGCGTTTGGAAAAGAAGACGGGCGTACCAGGATCGATCTGTAGGTCCAGGAAAGAAGACGGGTTTGCCAACCTCCGAGGTTTCGGAGGAATGGCTGCCGTCTCGGAAACTTTGGAACCGTCCCATATCTTCCTTTGCCTGCCACCCTTCTTTGCCACAGCGAACACTCCGCCAAGCCCTTCCACATGTCTCCGGAGACGAAGCTTGCCGCACACTACCTCGCGCACAGTCAAGCGAATGTACTCGATCCGCTGGCTGTTGTCGATGTAAGGTGCATCGTAACACACAGAAGAACCTGGAAAAATCTCTGACGGCACGGAAAGCTTCTGTGCCAGGTCTGCAGAAATGAGACCACAGGCATCACACGAAGCCGCTTGCTGGGGCAGGTCCACATCATCACTGCGCAAAGCCTCGTGTGAAGGGATCCCGCCACTTTCACAAGAGGCAAAACTGTCCTTCCATGGCAGTCCGCCAGGGTAGGTCTGGTTCAGCCTTGCGAAGTGACGGACCACCTTTCTGCAAACGTGGCACTGGGTAGAATGCTGAGCTCCTGAAGGTGCTGCCGTTCTGGCACCCATCTGCAGGCAAGGCTTGAGGCCAGTGTTCAGCGCATTTAAAGCAGCAATACACATGTTACTCACATCTAGGCACACAACCATCTCGACACCACCATGGGCAACCGTCGGAGGCCAACTGGTTAAAGCCGGTATTGGAAAAAGATCCCTGTTCCGGCAGCCTCTAGGCCTTCTCTCTGCTTGCAACCAGCTCCTGAAAAGAACTGCTACAGTCAGGGAAGACGTGGCCAAAAGCCCTTTCAGACAGTCTCTCAAAGTGTGAGCAGCACTGTTCGGCTCCCGGCTTGGCGGCTTCTCGTCTGCAGTGCAACTGAGTGACTTATCCTTCTCGCCAGCAAAGACTTTAGCAAGCTTGCGTCGAAGTTTCAGACTGTAGCCTCTCCAACGATTTCGCCACAACCGTGCAGGAGAACTCTGCTTGATGTATCCTTCCTTATCCTTTCCCATCCGGGCGGCCAGAAGTCCACACCAAAGCAGTGGCTATCAGAGCAGGAAACCCAACCACAGCGGGGCCGTAAGAGGCAGCTCTTAGAGCGCCTTGCTCAAGGCTACATCATGCCACTTGATTTGGGCTTGAGGTCACAAAAGCAGGTGAAGCACAGCATGGCAGTTGATGTCTTGCTGCACCCTGCCTACATCATGACTTGACGCCCGGCCTGTGTAAGCAGGGACGCTCGTGTTCAACAATAAGGGGTTCAATCCTGTACTGCAGGTTGCATCGGCTTTGTTCAGTTAACCACTTTCTTCGAAAGCCACATGTCGGCCCTTTCGTTGGTTGTGTCCAATCCGGCCATTGTGGCGAGAATGGTGTCTTTTGTTTCCTCACGGAAGCACATCTTCTTCTTCTACTTCAATCCGGCCTTTTGGACTGAAGAAGATCGTGATCAACTCGAGTCTGCTGATTCTTCTGAATCTGATGGGCCTTATCCGGACAGTGCAGCTCGTGTCATTTCTGATCGCATCCGCCAACGTTTTCGCTCTGTGCTACCTGCTGATACATCGCTTACGGTGGGCAGTCTGAACTATGGTTCCATTCGTGAACACTTTGTACAGCGAGAGTGCCCAGCACAGCCACCGGGTTGGCCAAATGTACTGTATGTGCCGGTAATGTACAACTCGGTACCAATGCCACAAGCCACCTTTTACGGGGCGGTAAACCGAGTTTTTCTGCGATCCATCTTGTTTCTCTATAAAGGGACATTGTACATTGCTTTTCGGCAACTGCTGCTGCAATCACAGCAGAAAGCCATCTTTTTGGATTGGCTGTGCACCGGTCGCGAAGATCGTTTTCGCGTTAGTTCAACGCTTATTGCAGACCTCAGAGTTTTTCGTGTCATTTCACCCCTCGCTGACATGCCATAACCTTCCGGTTGCAGCGAAACAGAAAAACGTTTGCTGCTCTCGGATTCTGCACATAGATCTTCACCTGTGGTCCAGTATCATAAAGTTCTGGCTCTCAGGGAAATTCGCCATGGCTGATCGCAACAGATCTCGTTCCCCAACGATTTCATGGCGATACTACTGGACCAACTCCGTAGCAGCTGATGGCTCTTTCCTTTGGTGGAAGAATTGGTTTCCAGCTACACAAAATTGGATCCAAAATCGTCGCGATGCAGATGCCAGGGGCACGCAAAGCCCCCAAGAATCTCCGACGTCTTATTCGTCTGAGACACAGCAGAAACCTGCTGCAGCCAGCTCTATCCGGAAGCGAAGGCGAGATGTTTCTCCTTGAGAGTCAACTTTATTAATTCAAGCATGTTGCCAACACGTTGGCCAGTTGAGAGCAAACAGTTGTACAAGGTTTTTGCCACCACCTTTCTGCTACTCCTCACAAGAGGAGTAGCTGTGTGTGTGAATCCCTGATAGCAAATGGCGTTTCTTGGTGAAAAAAGCAGGGGGGCTGCCTGATCTGTAACAGTGGCAGTCCAACGAAGAGGCTGTTACAGATCACTGATATGAGCTGGGGACGCCTGGCTCACGTACCTGCAAGTGTTTGCCAGTGAAAGTGGCGAGGGGCTAAGCCAAGAACCCCTACGAGAGAGAAAGTCTTGATGTACAAGTTGTAACCTGTACAAACTACTCCCACCATGGAGTTTGCAAGTGTGTGCGCGTGTGTGCACGCGTGTGCGCGCGTGTGCGCGTTTGCGGGTGTGCGTGTGTGGGCGTGCGTGTGTGGGTGTGTGCGTGTGTGCGTGTGTGCGTGTGTGCCTGTGTGCCTGTGTGCGTGTGTGCGTGTGTGCGTGTGTGCGTGTGTGCGTGTGTGCGTGCGTGCGCGCGCCTGTTGTTTTATTGGCTGCGTGGCAAGCGAAATGCTTGAAATCTTAGAGTCTCAAAGGATCCTGGTCTATGTATTATTGTTGGGGAGCGGCCAAAATGGAGCCTGGCGGTGCCGTACTGAGCAATTACCTCTGTTCTTGCTCTGGGCAACTGAAAGAGAAGCAGCTGCCAGTCTCTAACATCGGTGGATACCCTTCTGTCTTCCCAGTTGGTGATTCCGAAGCAGGCGAGGTGTTAGGCCAAGCTCTCCTTCGATTTGAAGCTGGTGTGCAACGCCTACATCAATGCAAAGTTGTCCAAGAACAGATGGTTTTGGTTCGGTTGAGGCATGAGCTCTGAGCCCGTGGCCGTTGTAGTTGTGGCCTGCACGCAGGGCTTTCTCATGTGAAAACACCAAAGAAGTGGAAGAACCGATTCACCCCGACTCATTCTGCCACCTCTGGCCCCTCGCCAAGGCGCGTCCCCACAGAGACACGAGCTTGACCTCAAAGTAACAACAACCCAGCAGTAACTGGGCTTGGAGCCCAGCTGCAGCCATACCTCCAACCCTTACGATTGGATGGAATTGCAACCCTCTTCCCCAAACCCCAACCCCTAACCCCCAAGCCCCAAACCGGCCTTGCATTCCCCGGCGGTCCAGGAGCAGTCACCATCACACCAGCTTTCACCTCGCCGGCGGTCGTAAACTTGAAGAGGGTTGAGGGTTTGGATTTAGGGGTTTAGGGCTTGGGGGTTAGGCTTTCGGGGCTTCGAGTTAAGTATAAGGAGAAGAACAGGCAAGATGCAATGCAGTAAAATACATGATGGGCCCCAAGAAGGCTAACAGAATCCTTCCATTGAGTCCTGTTCTACCTATTGCTATGAATGCGATACTACTCGGTTGAGGTCCCGTGTGTTGAGCTTCCAAGAGTTTGTGGGTGGGCTAAACCCACTGATGGGGTCCTACGATCCAGTTAACTCCCTCCAGTACAGTTACCTGGACGATGAAAAGACCTCCGCTGCACCTACAGTTTGGTTTTCAGTAGCTCCGAAGAAAGTTTGTTGAGCAGCGTTGGATCGAATACGTATCAGAAAGCGGACAAACTACGCATAGGAGGGAAAGACAAGCAAAAACACGATCGACAAATGGCAGTGAAAGAAAGTTCCCGGCTCTCGGGTAAACCACTGAAAGCTGTTGGGAAAGAAAGCTCTCACTAGGCGCTGCTGGCTGGAAGGCTGAGAACGACATCGTCTCATCTCTAATCCTAGACCCGCAAGTTGGAAGGCGTGCTGACTTCAAGCTTGTAGCTCCCCAAACCTCATTCTCAAGATGATTTCTCTGCAAGCCCTGCAAAGAAGGCCGGGTCCAAGGCCATGCCACTCGCCGCTTGCAGTGTCGCGCGGGCATACGGCGCAGTGCACGGCTGAGTGCAGGCCGCAGTCCACCTGACAGCGGCTTTGCCTGAATTTGCAGCCCCCAATCAAGTGCTGCACAGCTAAGCAGCGGGGCTCGGAGGCCCTATGTTGAAGTTGTAAGCACAAGAATGAGCATTTGCTTGTTGGAGTCTTCAGGAAGTTTTGGAGGCGAGTTCTGCCGGCCCATGCCTTAGCTCACTGTTGCGTCAAAGATGTCTCCAAGACAAAGTGGTTGCTTCTACCTGCATTTCGGCTGCAGGGTGTGGAGTCTTATTTCGTTGTGCATAGCCACGATGCCCGAACCAGCACAATCGAAACCTCAAGCCACCCCCGCGGACAGCTCCAGGCCCGGGAGCAAAAGCACAAAGATGTTGTCTGCGTGACTCTGCGTGCTGCGAGCCTGCCTGGTGCTGGAAATACCAAAGGTCGTTCAAGTAAGAGCTCCCACCATTATGGCCTGCAGCCAAGATTTCAAGCAAAGTTCTCTAGAAAGTGGGTATCCGGGGGGTTTGGTGCCGATGTTTTTGCAGCTCCCTTCTGCCTCCGAAAATCCAGAAGCGGCCAGACGAGTCCTCGCCCCCGGAGCCGTCCCGGCGTCCAGGGGGCACCGAGACGCCTCCAGAAAACGAGAACCACTCGAAGGTGGCGGAGCTCCTGGCCGTGCGAACAACGAGCCGAGTTTTGATTGGGATCGGTTGCGGGTCACGTCGGATCCGAGCCTTGTGGAAGTCCTTCTCGGCGATCTGCTCGGAGTCTGACAAGGGAAGGGACTTCATCAAATGAACCAAATGCCCACGGAACCCCATTCTGACTCTGTTGACACATCCCATCATGAAAGGTCCATTTAGGTCCAATTATCCAGCAGGGTAAACCCCGTGAACCGAGCAGAAGCTGCCTCCCTGGGCCCGTGCCCGGCCGGAGCTTCCAAAACGATCCCTACGACACCTGCAAGGTTGAAGTTCGCTGTAGCTTTCCCCTACAAGTCTGGCGGAAGCCATACACTGTGGCAACAGTAAGCCTTATACAAGAAGTGGCCAGTAGTACTCAGGACTCTCAGACATACCTCCGCAGCCTACAGGCCACAGCACCTGCATGAGGGATGAATTGGTTGCACCTTACGACAATCCCTCCCGGCACCCTGAACCGCAAACCCCGAACGACAACATCCACCACACATTGGCCCCAGTGGCGCATGGGGTGGCTGGGCTTGGCGAACCAGCTGGCAGTCCCTACAACATGACGCCTACCCGTCTGCCTTGCCCGGTAGAGTGATTCCTAAGTGTGCACGCGAGGTGTCAGGTCAAGTGGTGCATGTTACATGATGCCACCTGCATCTCTCGCAGGCAGATTTTCCAACCGGCGCGGCTGATGGAGGAATCCTCGCAGCCACGGAATCTTAAACCTGCCACCAACAGTGAACACATGGCTGCGATTTCGCACTGGCATCCAAGGCTCGGAACTCCAAGCAATCGTGCCCTGCGGCACCACGCCGTTTGGCCCAGAAGTGCCACTGTAGTCTACATCGTTGACCCGCAGTTTGTCAGAGCTCTCGGTGTCAAAGCTGACCACTTGAATTGCATCGGTGTTCCCGGCAGGCACGTGAATTGAGCAAGAATCGTCATCCGGATAGGAGCTCGGGTAGCTCGTGGAGCTGATACACCCATCGGCTTCAAGCGTGCATTTCCTCAAGTCGCCCGGCCCTTTGACTTGACTTCACCCGGTAAGCACAGAGTGCATGACTCAGCTGAGGATGGGGCCCAGATGTCACACTCCACGCCTGATTCGCAACCAGCTGTGTGTGAAACATCGTCTAGCATGTTGCCCTGGTATCTCAAATCTCCTGCACGGCAGCCAACAAGAGCTAAGCCTGGCGCTGCTGCGAGTTGCCCGACAGCAGGTGCGAGTAGCAAGCTCCAATGCAGGACAAGCGCTCGAAGCATTGCTCGGGAGCCCCTGCGCCCTGTGACTGTAACACGTTCGTGCCCACACAGCAGAGGTGCGTTCACGAAACCAAAGAAAGGAACACCTGCAACGCAGATGGTCGTGGCCATCGCCATGAACGAACAAGGTGTTTAAAGGACGGCTTCAGGGCACCAATTCAGGCAGATAAGAAGGAAAATGAAAGCTGAGGCTTTTGCTCTCTCGCCTAACAGTTTCGGAGCGTTTCGGAGCCTTTGGCTGCCGAAAACCCGGATGATTCGGGTTCACTCTAAAGCATCTGTGTTCATCCTGATGTATCATAACAACAAATGAGAACCATGGTTTGGAAACTTCGAGCAAACCCGATGATTCGCATTGGCGACCCTGGGACAAAGCCTGGGGTTTCACCTCGGCGGATTGCATACCTCCGCTGCTGCCGTAATGTGTAGCACACAGAGGCACTGCAAGCGGAATAGGACCCCCTGCCACGGAGTACTCCATGTCCGCTGCACCATGTTCATCGGGTCTACGAGAATATACGTCCAAGCTGAATCATCTTTAAACCCAAACCTATCCGCCCTTCGAAGAATTATTCTGGACCCAGCTTTGGCTCGGCTCGCAGGGTTTCAACTCGCACCGAAGCTAAGCCCGTGCAGCTTGAGCCCAGTGTCGGGACGTGGACATCTGGCACTGAGCATTCCAACAGCGGACTACCCTCGAGCTTCTCCAACGGGCATGCTGCTGCGGCAAGATCAGCACTTCTCAGCAAGCCTCGCGACTGAAGCTACTGCCGTTCGGTGCAGGAGACGCTTGCTTCAGCAGGATCTCCGTCTCCATGTGCGAACTTCAAAATGCTTCAAAACTGCAACAGGTCAGCATCTATGAATCTATGCTGTTGGGACCCGGTGCCGTCTGGAATCATTGCGGGAGGCAGGCTCTTGAAGTGCTCGTGCAGACTTCTCATGTCTGCAGATGATTCCGAGGGGCTTCGGGCTGAACCGTTCTATGACCGCAGAGCCCTGCTTTGATGGTGCGGCCTGGAAGCAGAGCATCGACGGACATATGCAATCAGCTTGGTACAGTTACTGCGTCTCACGTCCGCTTTCGAGAAAGAAGCTATCTCGGACAAGCATGATGCATGGTCGAAATTGATGTCGGTGTTTTGGGGCTGCCGCTTGCACAGTTGAGGGCCTGCAGATCTGCATTTGGGGGCCTTTTGGCCTCTCAGCAATGGAACGCCTGTTATTCACGCTGATGCAGCATGATGCTGCTTGCTATCGCGGCTTGAAGAGCCGCAGACGGGTGCACAGTATGTACCTATCCATACATGTACACACATATTTTTTCCTATTCATTCATGTGTTTGTATAAGCCCTCGAAAATGCAGAAACCTTCGTCCAGAAAACCTGTCCTACTACTTGAAGCTCAGTGTGTATGAGCGCACAGAAGCCCTGCCCGCGGAGGGAGGTCGGCCGTCCGCAGAAGCTCTGCGGTCAGGCCTCGGCCAGTCACGAGCAACCCACATTCCAAATCCGTTCCCCGTGCACTGCAAGCTGAATCCGTCTAAACAGCTCCGCTCAGATGTCCATGGCCTCGCCAACCTTCTTTCGGGGTGGGCTGCACAGTAGGTTGCCACAGTAGGCAGCCTGCGAATGCAAGAATCCAATCTTGCTGTCAGCTCATTGGAGACACTGTTGCAAGAACAAACAAGCCGCAGGAGATGAGCTGCGCATCTGCTACTTCACTCCCACTCTGTGATTTATGCTGCCTGAAGACACCAGCAGCCGGAAAGTACACAACAGTAGACGGCACTTCGAAGATCTGTTCACCATTCGGCCATTAAACACGGTACACCGTCCGGTTTCGGCGAGACAAGGGTCACTAGTCACTAGTCACTCACGAGTCGGGACAACATGCTCACCGCATCAATACCACTGCACACAGAAGCCCCATGCCGTCACCGTCTGGGCGACAAGAAGGAGAATTGTTGGGAAGTCGTTCCATGTTCTCTCTCCCTGACGGTCCTGACCTGACGAAAGCCAAAAGACTGACTCTTGTGAGGTTGCCACTTGAATGCTTACCTGGTTGGGAGCCATGACCGTAGGTCTGCATAATGGCCACAGTAGCACAGCAAAACGGTTGGCAAAGGTAACTATGTGCCCGAAACCCCTCAAGGGAACCCGAATCCAGCGTAATGGTGCATCTCGTTAACCCCAAACGCTTGAATCCAGATTGGTTTGGCACCTCTCCCCTGCTGCTATTTCGCACATCCGGCTCCAAGATCTCTGCGAAGGTGCTGTCATCCTGCCGATAGAGGCCCCGCATCACGGGAAAGCCGCGTGCAAAACACGCTCAGCCTGCGGACGTCACCATGCAATCCTTACTCCAAGACTACCATGCCACAGCCCTGAACAAAGTTTTTTCGTGAACGCCGGCGTCCCGGTTCTTGTCCGACGCGAAGCTGGCACGGACCTCATCGCTCGAAGCTTGCGAAGCCTGCGCTGCCTCGAAGAACGGTTTCGAGTGGAAGCTCTGTCTACGAGCTTCTGTTTCAGGGTGTGGGTTTTCAGCTTGAGGTGCAAAAATAAACAGTATTTCAGTGCCTTCGGTGGCTTCGATTTTTGCAAACGTTCAGAAGTCGACGGGGATCGCAAGCGGAGTGAGTTTTCGGGACTTTGGGGATGTCGCAGGAACAGGAAGCCGCAAATCCTCAGCATCAAAACCTAAACAACCCCTTCGAATGCCCGAAAGTCCTGGAAAGTCATTTGGATGATTCTCTGTGCCTCTGCTTCGGAGTTCGCCGGCCAGCAACAGCCCGTGGCATCCTCTCGCTTCGGTGCCCTCTGAGCCTCAGCCGTGTAAAGCTCTAAGCATCAGGTCAAGTCGGGCAGATTCGGGCAGGTACGGAGGTGCCAATATGCCGAGTTGAAAGCCTAGGGGTGGTGGATGAGGGGCTGTAGGACTGTAGGAAACAGGGGTTGGTGGTGGTGGTGAAGGAATGTGTTGGCTCTCTGGTTGGCCATGCTTCGTGTCCACTGATTCACACCATGCTGTTCTATGTCTCATTTTGAACAGTGCTTGCTGTCGCGACGTCGTTGTTTTTCCAGAAAAGCCCTCCGGGGTTGGCTTTTCGTTGTTGTTGCTTTTCCCTTTTTTCGAAGGAGCCGCAAAGAATGATGCCGAAGCCGCAAGAGTCTAGAGTCCAAAAAGAGGAAAGGCTGGCACCCACAAAACCCTGGGCAGCGTTGCTTCCGAGGCCGCCGAGGAGCCCGAGACGCCCATGAATGTGCTGCAAGACATGCGGAGGGGGCGGGGCATGTTAGAGCTTTGCGCGAGTCACAATCCTATGAGAGCTTTGCGCCGGATTCTCGGGTTCTCGGGTTCCCAGCCTGACCTTCTTCATGTTTATCTGCTATAGAAGACTTCCCGTCTATTGTCTTTGGACGTCTGCCCAGCTGGCTTGCCAGTTCAGCGAATGGAAGATGACCCGGTTTCGGCATAAAGGTGCTTCTGAAAAATACATGGCTCGACATTCGGCGTTCAGAGGTTTTGAACCTCCGCCCGCTTCACGGCCGAGCTGCTAGCCCGTGTTCCAAGGAATCGAGCTGGCACATCCGCCCTGACCGCCGATCATGAATGGTTTGGTGTCTACGTAACATGCAAGCACTAGATAACGTGTTACAGAGCTGTGACACCGCCCAGCACACATGCAAGCACCCAAAGGCTACTTTAAAAGGCTTTCAGCTGCATGCTCGAATACAATAGTCATAGCACCAGTATCACTACCACTGATTACTCCACCCATGTTGCAATAGGCTGTCTTTCGGCTCAAAGCAGCACATTAAGCCACTGCCCGCACAGTACTCTGTACAAAGATGTCAAACTCATTCTCCCACGTAGCATCAGGCCGCGGCCAGCTACTCCTACTAATGAAGCAACAACAAAGGTACAAGAACAACAACACAACGACAGCAACAGCGACAGTGACAACAACAACAACAAGAAAAGCAGCAACAACAACTACAAATACAACTGCAACTACAACTGTGGCTGCTGCAACTGCAACTGCAACTGCAACTGCAACTGCTACTGCTACTGCTACTGCTACTGCTACGTTGCATGGCAGGGATCCATTATCTGTCTGCTGTGGCAAGAGGAGTGCGGAGCCAGTACTGGCAGTCGACGAGCTGGAGGACTTCTTTGGGGAGGTGAAGGCGGAGGGTCAAGCGACCAACAAACGAAGGAAGCCGGAGCCCGACAGGCCATACCGGTCGTCAGGACAGCTGGGCCGAGCAGATCCATTAGTTCTTTCTTTGGCGCGGGCTGTGGTCCGTCAAGAGGAGGAGCTGAAAGTGCTCAAGCAAGATCATTCGATAGTGATGTGGCTGCGCCCAGGGGAATACGGCATCCTCCACCACCTCTATGTGACAGCCAAAGCCTTCAAGCAGAAGCAACAGGAAAATCCGATGTGGGCCCCGGGACAACAACCATTGCGTACAGTGATGGCGATAGCTCTTTTTCGGGAGATGGAGGTACGGGTCAACAAGGTTCTGGCAGACGAAACCTTGCAGAAGAAGGCAGCAGACATGGGTTGGCGGGATCCAGCCACGGGCTGGAGGTATCAACGATGGAACCCCTTCTTAAAACACCTGGAAGCCGACTCCTCCAGGAACCCACTGACGGATCAGCAGGTGCTCCAGGCCTTCAAGATGCTGTACACGTCCCTGGACCAGGACACGGTTACCAGGTTCTCGTGCACAAGGAAGGTTACCGAAACGATGGCGAACCAAGCTACCTTCCTCATGGACATCTCGGTCCGCACACCGGCGGCCATGGAAGCTTGGAAAACCATGCACATGCTTCAGGGCTGCTCTGTTCTGCAGCTCGGCGGGATGGCGTACCGAAGGGACACGTTGAAGTGCAGCCCTCTGGTGGAAAAGATCAAGGAGATGCTGCGTGGCCGTTGAGGCTTCGGCTTCAGAATCCAGGCAATCATTGCTACTTTAACTCGTTCGTTCAG